TGAGGCTGCTTTCTCTGCAGATTCCTAAAGGATTCCAGCTGCTGGGCTGGGCTGGAGATGCTGCTTTTCCCAGCAGGAGGATTTTAGGGGGACAGGCATCACGGGCAAGCAGATTGAGCCAGGACATCTCCCAGGGAGCCCAGAGCAGGGAGGAAGGGCGGTGGAAAGCCCTGGGGAGGAGAGAGAAAGGGAGCAGAGGAAGAGGAGGGTGGGGAGGAAGGACAGAGGGGCTCTGCCCTCCTCACAGCCGTGGAGAGGTGGTGCTCTGGCCCTGTGAGGCAAAAAAGCGGGGCAGACCCCCTTGGAGCATCACTCCTTCCCCAGCTCTGACTCTGTCCCCAGTTGCTGGAAATGGGACGAGACATGATACTCTCCCTGCTGGGGCCTCATGTCTGCCCAGAGCTAATAAAGCAAATCAGTGGTGCTTAATGAAGAAGCACCTGCTTAACTGAACGCAGCAGGACAGTGCTCAGCGTGGCTGGGCAGCGGGACGGGGCCAGCAGCACTCTCCTCACAGGGCTCCCTGCAGGTCCCAGCAGAGGGGACAGTGTCTCCATTCACAGTGGGGCTGAATTTCATCTTTTTTTTCTTTAATTTGATGGAAAACCAGACTTTCACGCCCTGTGAGCAAGCATCGGGCTGCCCTGACCCTCTGTTACACCATTCCTTCACGGAGGAGGCAGGGGACGGGGCAGGGGACAGGGCTGAAGCAGTTAAAGGGGCAAGCGGGCGGGATGGGAGCTCTGACAGCTCCCTGAAATTATGTTGTTTAGATTAGCCGGGTTTCCAGGCATCGGGCTGTCAAAGCAAGAGAGCTGGGAGGGATGCCGGGGCTTGTCCTTAATTGGAGATGTGGCTCTGAAGCTGCCCCATTGCTCTGACGTCCCCTGGGCTCTGGCACGAAGCCCCGCAGCAGCTCCCTGCCCTGAGGCTTTCAGCTTGTCCCCATAACAGCCACCCCATCCCACCCCACTGATGGACATTATTGCGTTAACAACTCAGTGGCCTCTGGATCATGGGGGGCTGTGGTGCTTAATGGGGTGCAGCTGGGGCACAGCTCAGGGATGCAGCGGGACACAGCGATGCGAAGCTTGTGGTGACCTCTATGGCTCCTCCCTTGGCCAGTATCATCTTGCCAAGGGGTCCTTTAGGCTAGGAGCAGGGCAGGGTCGTGTCCCCACGGCAGGGGCTGCGGGTGGCCCGCTGGGTCCCTTGGTAGCCCCACTGCAGCTCAGCCCCATCTGTGGCAATGAGCAGGGGGTGGTCCCCATCTACACACTGCAGGCAGGCGCTGCCTCCCATCTGCCCACTGCTGTGCTCCTTGGCTCTGTTGGAAAGGCTTGAATAACCCTTTTAATTTAAGGAGTTAAATTTTAATGGCCTAAATACTACACTTCATTATCGCCGCCATGTGCCTGCGCCGACGGCTGCCTGACGTCTTGGCGATGCGGTGCGGTGATGCTCTGCGCCTGCTGCCTCCCCGGGGACGCTTCTCTTTTCCTCCTCTCCCATGCCAGGACCTCCTTGGGGACTCATTGGGTCCCCGTGGGCAAGGGGACAGGCAAGGGGACACATGTGTCACCCACAGGGATGCAGGGAGAGCCCCAGGGAGAGGCATCTTGCTGGGATGATGCTTCGGAGGGGATTAGACGGCTCTTTCCATCATCACATCAAAGCATGGGCAGGTGCCTGGGTGGGTGAGCCGCGGCCAGCCGGCTGGTTACTGCAGGTTTAAGTCTTATGACTGGGGTGTACATATTTATGGGATGTATATATTTGGGGGATATACATATATTTAAGGAGAGTGTGTATATATATATATATATATACACACACACACATATTTATGGGCTGTATATATCTGGGAGATATATATATATTTACGGGGTGTATATGTTTGGGGTGTACATACAAAGGGTCTGGCTCACACTCACTGTCCACTCTTGCCCAGCCACCCCTCTGGCACCTCAGCTGCTGCCTGGTCAGTTAGAAGCCACCTGTCCCCTGTATGGCTGCGTCCCCTGCCTCCCTGCAGCCAGCCTCGCGTTCCCGTCATGCCATTGAAGCCTCCCAGCGGACCAGCTCCAGGGACCCCCCCATCCCCCCCGGCAGCCACCCGGTGCTGGCAGTTGGGCTCAGCTGCTGGCTGCTGTCATGGAGGCCAGCAGCTGTGTGGCCGGACAGTTGTCCCCTCCTTTGGGGACTGCTTTTGGGATGTGCTGACCAAGGGGCTTCGTAGCAGGGGGGAGTTTGGGTTCTTTGGCTGCATCAGGGGAAGCTGCTGAGCACTGGCAAGCTCATTCTGCTGGTGGCTCCTGGAGAGCTTGAGGGCAGCTGGAAGGGATGATGTCCAGGTGGGGCAGCATCCCTGGGGGGGTGACACAGCTTCAAAGCTGCAGGGACAGTCTCTGCACGGCTGCTTCTTTTAACACCCCCACAGTTTCCAGTTTCCCAGTGCCCCTGAAAGGAGGGGGAACAAACCCAACTCTTCCCTGCTAATCAAAACCAGGCCTGAAATTAGCAGGCGGCTCGCGTTCAGCCCCCCAGTCGCTGGGAGCACGATGTTAGCCAGCCAAATGTCAGAGCTCCTATTTATGGAAAGCAAGAGCCCTTCTTTTCCACGGAGAAGCAGCGGAGGGGGAACCCGACTGGCGTCCTTGCCATGGGCGGATGAGGGCAGCTTCGGAGGTCGCTGAATTGCCCTCGACACTTGCTGGCACCGTTTTTCTTTTGGCTGAGCTTGTTTGAGCTCTTTTTGTAGCCTTTCTGCCTGGAAGGTGTAAAACACCGGCTCCGTGCCGGCTGCAAGCAGAAGAGCCAGTCCCTGGCTATACCGGCCACACTTTGCAATTGGGGGTAAAATTGTCCTGGTGTTTGTCCCTGGAGGACCCGTCCCCTCTTTGGGCACAGTAAATCATCCTGCTTCATGGTCTGGGTGCCTGGCACGGCTGCCGGAGGAAGCTCGCCAAGGTTGGGGCATCCAGTTATGCCCTCTTATTGGAGAAGGGTAGGATGGAGCCAGCTCCCTCCTGGGCTGGGCTTGGACCTGCCTAGGCTGAGCTTGCTTTGCTGCAGCTGGCGATGACCGGATCCTCCCTGCAATGCTGAGCTATTGATTTGCTTTTGGCTCCATCAGGCTGGACTAAAAGCCTCTGCCTTCCCCTTCCCTCCCTCGATGCTTCACTTTCCCATCGCTCTCCCTCCTCCAGCCAGCCCGCGTCCAAGCGGCAAGAAATCGGGGAAGCGTTTTCATCTCCATGAATGCAGCCGGTTACGTAAGAATAATTGGGATAAATGAGCTTATTTATCACGGCCCGTTCCATTTTAAGGGGGTCCAGGGCGATTGCTGGGTTGGGTTATGTAAAAGCCCGCACAGAGCATCTCATTGTCCGGCAGCAGCCACGCGGGATGCAGGAGCTGCCGATGGAGAGTTGCCGGGGCTGGGCAAGGAGAGCACGGGTTGCTTGGCAGAACTGGGAGGAAGATGGGGGGTTTCTTCCTCCATGTGTTGGGAGAGAAATTCTATCTCTTCATTCCCCACCCACCTTCTGTGTCCCTAAAACACCAGGGTATGGTCTTTGGTGTCTTCCTATGGCCATATAGTCTTCCACTAGTCCTTCCCTGTGGGGATGGGGTCTGGAAACTTGCCTCCTTCCTTTTCCTCACCCTAGGAGGTGAAAACGTGACCTCAGGGGGAGTTCAGGTGTGCCTCCCACCTCCTCGCCAAACCAAGCACCTAGGGAACGCCTCCCTCCCAGCCGCTGAAAAGTGTTCTCCTTGTTTTGCCTCCTGAACCCTTCTGAGGTGCCTCCAGCGGGGGATTTGGTTGCCAGCTGACGTTATCTGGTGGGGAAACAGTGTGTTAGGAGTTGGGGGCAAGCGGAGGAGCTCTGGGAATGACAGCATCTCCCCCCGGTGCCGAGGCCCCCTGTCAGCCCGTGGCGAAGGTGTGGAGACCCAGGAAGCATCCCAGTTTCAGGAGATGCTGGGGAGCTGGGTGGGCTCCCCCGGGTCTCCCTGATGCGGGCACCAGAGAGCTGAACCGGCACTGGGCAGTGTTTCAGGTGTCCTCAGACAAACCGCACAAGAAGGCAGGAGCCTGGAGAAAAACAGGAAATCCCCAAATCTAAACAAACATGGGAAAAAAAAAAAAAGATCTGTTTTTTCATTCCTGGTCTAAAATGTTTTAAAACCTTGAGAATGCCCCAAGGTTTGTTAAGCAGAACATTCCTGCTGTGACCTGCCGGGCTCAACCAGGCAGATCGGCGTGGGCTGTGGCACCGGCTCCGCCGCGCTTTGAGGAGAGTGCTGCTGGCCAGGCGTCCGGTGAGCAGAAGCACCTCACAGCTTCACTGCTGGAGCTGTGAGCCCCTTGGCACCGGATTTCCTGGGAGCCAGAGCGTGAAGGAGTTCAAAGAGCAATGGAGCAGGTTACTGGAAGAAAGGGGGGATGTATAGGGACAGGCAGCCTCTGGCTCCAGGGCTCCTGGGTTGAACAACACCAGGAGGGGTTGCTTTGTCCCAGTGGCCATGCTCGCTCCCTACCAGTTCCCTGGTGTCAGAGGGATGCTGGTCTGACAGGGCCATCCCATCCCATCACATCTGTAACCACAGTGTTGCACACTCCCTGCATTGTCAGGGAGGGAAGCGATGCTGAAACCTTCCAAGTGTGGTCACTGGAAGGCTCAAGGCAGCAACAAGCCACAGTGGTGGGTGCTGATGAGGTCCCAGGGCAGCACAACTGGAGTTGTATCTTACTAGCCTAGCTACTTTTTTTGGCCTTGCCCTGGTGTAAATAGCTGCACCCTCCAAATGCAGAGCCTGGTATTACCCCGAATCTCCCTTCTGGGGCCACCCTACTCACCCAACCTCTGGTGCAGCTGGACCTCCCATCCCTGGTCCTCTCTGGAGGAAGGGGCTGATGAACGGGCTCAGGTCAGGGTCTCAGGGTGCTCATTAACCATCCTTCCACCCCGGTTTCTCTCCTCTGTGATACGCAGGCAGCTTTGTCTACTTCTGAACGCAGAAAACATCTTCCACTCTATGGCAGACATACTACTTCGGGAAGAGGACCTCAAGTTCGCCTCTACCATGGTCCACACTCTGAACACCATCCTGCTAACATCCTCTGAGCTCTTCCAGCTGAGGAACCAGCTGAAGGACCTGAATACTCCGGTATGGGCCATGGGAGCAGGCTCAGCTGCTGGGAGGGACATAATGGGGGTGGCGGGGACCTGGCAGCCACCTGGGTCCTTGTCTTGCCTGGTAGGTCCAACGGCTGGAGCTCGGGCACCCAGGGTGGCCCCTTCATTCCTCCACTCTTCAGGAGTTGAGAGGGGCTTAAAGGACGTGCCCAACTCCTGCTTTGCTCTGCTGGGGTGGGAGCGGGCTCCCCAAGCCCTCAAGCAGCTGCCACCTCCCTCCGCCACAACACAGGCTAGGGGACAGGTGACAGCGGGAGGAGAACCCCCCAGTCCCTCAGCTGTCCCTGCCAGGAACGTGCCCACAGGGTTTGCCAAGCAGCTGCCACCAGCACCGATGACATCTGAGCAAGGCAAGGAGAGGGAGGAAGACTTCTCCTCCTCATGCTGAAGGCCAGCAATGCAGTGGTGTCCCCTTGGGTGGGACAGCCACTGTTCTCCAGCCCCTCATCCTGTGGTGGACACAGCACCCCCAAGGGCCACCCTGTCACGCTGCCACCCCAAAACCTGCCTGGTCTCCATCCAACAAGGGCTCATGCCACTGCCAGGTGGACTTGGTGGGTCCAGAAACATCCTTTTGTGTCTTGGTGGCACTTGCCAGCCCAGTGAGTTGGTGTCAGGGACCTGGGGCTCTCCGTGCCACGTCCTTGCTCCTGCTGGCGCACTGACCCCAGTGGCTCCCTCTTTCCCCAGGAAAGCCGAAACCTCTTCTGCTGCCTGTACCGGTCCTGGTGTCACAACCCCGTGACAACCGTGTCCCTCTGCTTCCTCACACAGAACTACAAGCATGCCTACGACCTCATCCAGAAATTGTATCCTTTGGGGGTTTTCTGTGAGGCTGGTGGCTGGGCTGGCCCCTGGTCCCTCTGTGGCCACCAAGGTCATTGTGTGGGCCAGCCCAGCCTCCTGACTGCAGCCCGTCATTACTGGAGCGGCATTCCTGCAATGAGAGGGCAGGGCAGCCTGTGCTGGGCGCATGCCAGCAACCTTCCCCTGGTGTTGTCCTTACTTTTTGTGGTGTAAAAAGAGGAAAGCGTGTGCTGGCTGAGCCCTGACCTTCCCCTGACTGGGAGGGGAGGCTCTTCAGCATCCTCTTCCTCCCAGGAAGATGAAGACTTTGGCCTCCTGGCTTGATGAGGAGCAGGCAGCACCCGGCGCAGTGCGGTTCCTGGTGAGCTCACCATCTGCCTGGAGCAGAATGATTATTTTCATGTGCCGGCAAACCCCAGGCCTCCCTGAGTAGCTTTCCATACAACAAAGCTTAATAACGTGCACGCTTTCCCTTCCTGGCACACACCAGCATTTCTTCTCAGGGATGGGAGTACTCAGCATCACCTCGGACCAGGGGGGTAAAAGCAACCATGTTCCCTTGTACCATCTTCCTGCCTGCTCTCTGGCGGGGCAAGCTGCTGCCTTTTTGGGCAGCCTGCCTTTTCCCCCATCCCTGCCTGCTCATCCTGTTTCCTTCCATCATCCCTTGGCTGCCCTGCAGACCTTTCAGCCCTGCCTGCTCGCTTCCCGCGGGAGCTGTGGACACAGGGAGGGTTTGGCAGAGCCGCGGCCCATGCCGGGCATTGCCCAGGCGAGCCATCTGCTGCTGCCGGGCCACTCTTTTCCAAGGTAACGTCCTTAACAGCCGCATCCAGCGGGGATCTGGAGGTCACCGTGGATTTCCTCACCGAGGTGGACAAGCTGGTGCAGCTCATCGAGTGCCCCATATTCACATGTAAGGAGGAAACCCTGCGTGGGGAAGGGGCGGCGCATGGTGCTCCCCCTCCCTGCTCCTCCATCACAAGCAGCAGCCGCCGCACAAATAAATAGAGCAGAAGTTATGAGACTTCTTGCCGGGAGGTTTGCCCAGCGCTGGAGCTGCCTGCCGGGGCCGGGCACACTGGCAGTGCTGGGGGGGTCAGTTTGCCCTCCAGATATAGGTTAAGGGAGCGAGCAGAGCTGGCACCAAACAAAGGGACGGGGGAAGGATGGGGGGGCCTGGACCACACTGAGCATCTCTGGGGGACTACTGGTAAGGTGTCAGCTGCAGGGAGCCATGTGTGCCGCTCTTGGAGATATGGGGTGGCATCATGGGTGCTGCTGGGGCCCTTAGCAAGAAAAAAGGTGATTTTTTTAATATTTTTTTTTTCTGGAGAAGGAGAATAAACCTTAAAAAAACAGAGCTGCTTCTCTCCCTGCTGAGCTTCAGATCTGGCTCCCTTGTCCCCAGCAGTGTGGGTCCCCCCCATTGGGTAACAGTCAGGGCCTGGCCAGGGGCTCAGGGATATGGACGTGGGAGCCAGGATGGGGAGGGGAGGACGTGGCAGGGTGACCCATGGCTGGGGGGCTGTTGCTCACACTGGCCATGGCATTCAGCTGCTGCTGGGCTCCTCCCTGGAGGTGGAGCTGGGCATTGAGGCCACGGCAAAGTGTCCTGGTAGGAGCTTTGAGGGGACCTATATAGGTCCAGGGCTGGAGAATATTTGGGGGAAGAGGGTTAGAGCAGCCGGACAGTGAAGATGTCGGGTGACCCTCAGTCATGCTCTGTCCTGTGGTGCTCTGTGCCTCATCCCAAAGATGACTTTCCCACCATGTGAGGCACCCACATGTCTGTGGTGGCTTTCCCTGGCCCCAAACTATTCCTGGAGGGTTCCCCAGCCCACTCACCTTTATCTCCAAGTCTCGGGTTAGGGGACAGACATGTCCCCCATAGAGAAGCATCCCTGGGCATGGGTCCTTTCACAGGGAGACATCAGAGGTGCTAGTGGCAAGCAGGAGGTGACATTCTAGGGCAGGAACCTCTTGCCCTATCCCCTGGGCTGCCCTAGGTGGGACCTTGGTTGACCATAGGGCTCCAGAAGACTCTTCCACCCATGAGCACCACGAGGGACGGAGCAGGAGGGTGGTTTCCCTCTGCTGAGCAACACGGAGGACCAACACAAGTAACCACTGGGGCTGAGAGGAGAGGATCCCTTCTGCTCCAGAGGGTCCCCGGGAGGGTGTCTCCCAGCCCTCCTGATGTGTGATGCTCCAGGGGGGATATTTCTGCTAATCGCACAGAAGCTGAGGAGCACTCATGATTCACGTGTGTCCTCAGACAGACAGCATGGATGGGCTCGGGGCTGAGCAACTGCAGGGATGGGAGAGTGGGGAGCCACTGCCCACTTCCCCAACTGGTAGATGGGGGCTGTGGTGAGGAGAGGGGCTTCTAACCTGTGTGAGACATGAAAGTGGATGAGTTAATGTAAGGAGAGAGGCTGCTTCTGCCATGTGGGTGCCCTTCCAGTCCGCTGGCAGAGGCTTATAGCCTCCTCAGGACCATCAGAGAGGTGGGAAGAACCTGCTCTGGGGAGTAGAGGTGAAATGCATTTTACCCACCTCCCCGTCCTCTTCCTCTCCTCTTCCAGATCTCCGCCTGCAGCTGCTGGATGTGAAGAACAACCCCTACTTGATCAAGGCTCTCTATGGCCTGCTGATGCTGCTGCCCCAGAGCAGCGCCTTCCAGCTCCTCTCCCACCGCCTGCAGTGTGTGCCCAACCCCGAGCTCATGCAGACCGCGTAAGTGCTGTGGGGTCAGACCCCAGCGTCGGCCTCAGGGCCAGACCAGTGGTCCCCCAACACGGGCTGAGCATCCCTGCCATCCCAGGCTCAGCCCTGGGCTCTGGCTTTCAGCCCCAGCTCCTTTGTGGCCGCAGCTGCTCCTTGCCCCGTGGCCGGGAGCGTTGGCTGGGGGGGGTTGTGTCTATATTTGGTAACCCTGGGAGGGCTGTGCCTCATCCACAGGCATTTGGCATCCGGGATGGAAAATTTCACTTGTGGGGTCGCTATGGAAACGAGCAGAGCTGGGAAGGAGGTTTATGGAGAGAGACTCCCGCAGCTGGGGGGTGCTCCCAAAACGTGTGTGTGTGTGTCCCCAGCCCAGACAGCCTTCACAGCACCCAAAGGGACCGCATAACCCGTGCACGCCTGGGGCTGGCTGCTCCGTCCCCACCCCTGGCCTTGGGGGAGCCATGAGCATTGACGTGCAAGGGCGGCCTCTCCCTGGGGACCAGCCGAAATCCTTGTGCTCCCTGCCCAGGGGTGCTGCCCGCCTGGCTTGTTAGACACGGGCGGTGGGATTTGCTCTCCAGCCCTGGGCTAATGAGCAGGGGGAGTAGATGATAAAGCTGGGTCTGCCTTTGCAAAGCCCTGGGAACAAAAAGAAGAGCTCCCGAGATGGGCAGGTTTCTCAATTAACCCCCTACGGCCGCCACTCCTTGGCTTTTAACTGCTCCCCTCGGCTGGCTTTTATCCCTCGTGGCCTCTGGCGCTGAGCTCGTACCCACAACCCGGCACTGATTTTAATTGGGGGGGCAGAGGGGGGGGTTGCATGTGCTTCTCCCCGCCTTTCTTCTCCCCCTACCCCTGGCAGCAGGGGGTTTTCGAGCAACCAGAGCTGTCAGACGGCCTGAGCATCTGATTAACTCTGACCTACATTCCTTCAAACACCGAAGCTGGCTTTCATAACAGGCCATCCCCAGCTGCCCCCTCCCCAGGGGGATGCCGGGGCTTTGAGAGCTGCCTACCATCCTCCCGTGGGCTCCCCTGTGTCCCCCAACGGGCATCCCATGGCTGGTCCCCCCACTGCCTTGCGTACGGTCAACACTGGGGGATGAACACCCATGGCTGGAGCCCTCGGAGCCCCCAGATGGCTTCCTTCAGCCCCATTTGTGGGGTCCCCAGAGCTCCAGCCATGGGTGCTCATCCCCCAAGGCTGTCCCCACTGCCACCAGCCCTCCTCTGTGCACATGGATATTTTTTGCTTGCTTGTAAAACCAGGCAGGGAAACTGAGGCCCATGGCACTGGCATCCTTTCTGGCCAGTCTCACTGCTTTTGGCCAGAATGGGTTGGGATGGGGGGGAGCATCCGTGTTGGAGGGGTTGAACCTCCTCTGTGGGGCCAGGGTGCTGAGGAAGATGTCCCTTGTCCCCTCTCATCCCAGAACTTTCTGAGCTCCTTCTCATGACTTTGGAGAACAGAAACAGGTCTTCAGGGGTGTTTCATGGCACATCAGCATCACCAGGATGTACTGTACTCAGCTTCTTCATGACAAGCCCTTGGTGCTGCCTGTGATGGATGTCTGGGATTTGGGCATCTCCTGCCTCTTCCTGCCCTTACTCTCTGCTCCTTCCTTGCAGGGACAGCACCAAACCAAGCACTGGCTTCAAGAGGGCATCAGCCTCCAACATCGACTACACGGAGCTGCTGCAACACTTTGAGAAGGTCCAAAACAAGCACCTGGAAGCACGACACCAGCGAGCTGGGCGGGCAGAGCAGCTGGACCGGCGGGTGGTCCTCTGAGCATCCCCGTGGCAGCTGTGGGTGTGCACGGTTGCTGGGGCAGGGACCAGGGGACGGGGACACCAGTTGCTGGCCACGGGAGGATCTGGTGGGTTTAATGGCAGAGGGAGACGGGCGAGCGAGTGGGGCTGGTTTTCCTCCCCGCTGTGCGTGTGGATGGTGGGGGACCCCCAGGCTGTGCCCAGCTTCTCCCATGGGTGATGCGGGGACGTGGGGAAGGGCTGCAGGAGGAGAGGGCAAGGGGAAGGTACCTCGTCTTCTCTTGCAATAGGGTGAGGAAACTCCCCTTTGCTTTGCTAATGCCTTCCCCGTGACTGTCAGCTGAGCTACCAGCCTCCTGCCAGCAAGACCAGAGGGGAAGGGAATAAGAGAGCAACCCCTGGCCTCCCGCCCTGGAAAACAAGCACGCGAGGCCATCGGCCACCTCTCGCCACCCCAACTTCCACCCTCTGGCTCTGAGGCCCTGCTGGAAGCTGCCGGCAGCATCTCACCTGGGGACTCACACTCCTGTGCGTGGCCCCCTCCCCACATCCACGCACCTTCCCTGAGCCCCCAGCTCTTGGCACGGACAGCAGCACAGCCTTAACTCCCAGCCGGCACCGGGGAGCACGGGGGGTGGCAGAGACCCTCATCACACCCAGCCCTGGACTTGATTCTTTGTTCCTACATTAAGCTCCCCATGATAAAATAAACAAGCAATGCAGAGCAGCCTGTTCCTTGTAGCTGGGCTCCCCATCCTCGTGGATCTGGCCCCAAGGGGAGCCAAAAACCTGGCATGGGCAGGGGGTGGCAGGGAGCATCTTGCTCGACCCCAAAGCCCTGGGCTGGCTCAGCCCTGCCACGTTGGCTCACAGGCGAGCAGGGCTTCTCCGCCTGTTCCTATTCTCAGCAGGAAAAAAAAACACTGCCGAAATTCTTCCAGGCCATGGTCACGAAACCACAGCGTGGTGACAGGCATTTTCCTGGCCCCGGGCAGCCGCCGGCATTGCCTTCGCCCTGTCCCACGATGCCGAGGGACTGTCACCGCCGGCACGTGCTGGGCTGCTGCAGTTCAGGGGCTGCCGCTGCATCCCCAGTGTATTTCAGGCCCTCACCTGATCCCGAGGAAAAGGGGGTTGGAGGAATTTGTGGAGTTTTTATGGCTCCTGGCCTGTTTACAGTGGAGCTGGGCTTCTGGCAGCGGGTTCCCCAAACAGCCCTGCACCGGCGCTGCTTTGGCCGGGATAAAGACATTCCTGTCATTCCCGGGAAAGGGCTTTCCAAACCCGGTCACGGCGGGTTAATTTTAACAGCCAACCCTTCAGGATGGGTAAGCGGTGGCTTCCCAAGCCCGCCAACGGCTCAGGGTACTGGGGGTGTCCCTGTTGCCTGTCCCCAACCACTGCCAGGTCACTGCCAGCGGGGCCAGGGCTGCTGCCGGCCCCGGGGCTCTGCCCATTGCTCCTGCCGGGCTCACCGCCACTGAGTGGCCTCTTTCCACGCCAAGGGATGGAGTTTATGGGGAGAAATTCCAGCCAGCTGCCGGAGCTCCGAGCCATAATCGTTTCCTTATGGGTGGCTCTTGACCAGCGCTGGCCAGAGCGGCGCAGTGCCGCAGGGGCATCGCCGGCAGGGGATCGGGGCCACTTCTCTGGCAGGAGGGGGAATAGGCATCTCAGTCTGAGCCCCTTGCCCCAGCTGAGCATCCTTTAAGTGTGAAGTGTGGCGAGGTCTGTGAGGGCTCAGCCCGGCACCCCCAGATCCCGGGGGGCTGGGGCTGGGGCCTCGGGATGGCTACAGGGAAGGGCTCGTCTGCTGGTCGGCCGCATGTTTCCCACGGCTGGCCGGCAATCAAGTGCCCCAAGGCGTTTCAGAGCTGCCAAGTAATCACTGCGGAAGGTGTTAAACTTTGACCTGCACTGAGGGGGCTGCCCGCAGCACACCTCAGCGAGGGCCTTCCCCGGGTGAGGGAGGCAGCGGGGGTCAAACAGCCCTCAGAGAGAGGCTGAACAGAGCCCTTGCCCGGAGGCAGCATAGCCCGGCACCTCCAGGGCTCTGGGGCTGCCCCCGAGCATCCGGCAGCACCCCTGGGCTCTCCCGTTCCCTACTCAGCACCCCAAGAGCACCCTTGGGGTTCCTCCACTGCACTGTGAGCAATCCCCGGTGCTGCCCCGACCCGTGGTGCTGCACCCCAGGCCAAGCATCCCGCGGGGCTCCTTCCACTGCACCCCCGGGGCTCCCTCCACTGCACTCCTGGGGCTCCCGGGGCTGCTCCCCGACACCCCCCCCACCCCCCGCAGC